GGACAAGTACGCCAAGATACAAAATAAAATGAAAAACACAAAAACATTCGGAAATCGACAACATGGACCGGTCGACACTAAAACGAACCTAAAAACGACTCGATAACACAAATAAACACATAAAAATAAGCACAAAAACATAACAAACAACAGGATGTATTAATGTGTGAAATAAATATTAATGATAAATTTTGTAACGGAAAATAGAGGTTTTATTAAATAGGTTTTATTAAATGCTATATGCCATATATATATATATATATGTATATATAATATTCATAATGACGACAACAGCGAATAATAATAAAGTATGTATGTAGCTCAATTGAAAGGAATATAAATGAAAATTAAAACCCAACTTCATTTCGGGTACTCTTGAAAGTAATTAGAAATGGTGCTCGTAATTTAAGCTATAAAATTATAAAAAATTAAAAATCAAGAATGGCAAAAAGAGAACGAGAGCCGAAATGAAAAAAATAATATTTTATATTCAATAATCACTTATTATTATTATTATTATTATTATTATTATAAATGAAATTTTATGGAAGGGGAAAAAGTCTTATTTGTCAAAATACAAGATTGAGTAGAAATATTCAATCCAACTTATTAAGGGAGAATGCTACCATCCAGTTATAGGTTGGTTCCGTTATGTGTTTTAGCCGTAGATATACACATAATCTAATAATGTGTAGACAATCCAACGCTTAAAAAACATAACGAAACCATCCCGTAACGAGAGAGAGGTGGGCCCCCATTTGAGGGCATTATATTACTATTGGTCAAGAAAATTACTCTTGGTCAACTTCAACTTATTAGTGGTGAGGTCCATTGGGGGCATTGATATGTATTGTTCTTGCCCCAGCAAATTAGGAGATCAAAGATTTTCAATTGGGTTGGGCCTTCTAAAGAGTAGAATTTCGCTTCTCTTTTAACTATAAATTCACACACCAAACCAATTATGTCACACATTTGATCATATGTTTCAAAGTCACTGAGACTCGACTTCGTAACCAACTCAAAAGTCCACCATCTAAGGTCCGTCAACAGCAAGAACACACACATCAACCTCTTCGCCTGCACCAACGTCCGCCTCACGCAACTCCGCATCACGGCCCCGGCCGACAGCCCCAACACCGACGGCATCCACATCGGCTCCTCCGAAGCCATACGAATATCCGACTCCATAATCCGAACCGGCGACGACTGCGTGTCTATGGTCTCCGGCAGCCGGGACATCGGCATCTCCCGAGTCGCGTGTGGGCCCGGCCACGGGATAAGCATCGGGAGCCTCGGAAAGGGCCACGATAAGGAGTACGTGGTCGGGGTTCGGGTCGCCAACTGCTCGTTCACGGGCACGGATAATGGGGTCCGAATCAAGACGTGGGCCCCGTCCCAGTCGAGCCTGGCGTCCAACATCACGTTCGAGGATATATTCATTAGGTACGCGCGGAACCCAATCGTCATCGACCAGCAGTATTGCCCGCATTCGAGCTGCATGGAGGTACTACTACGGTTCTTCATCTTTTTCTAATCTAAACTTCGAAAAAAAAAAGGTCGAAAGGATGTGTTTGTGTTTGTGTGTGTGTGTGTGTGTTTTTTTTTTTTTTTTTTTT